TGATGCCTGTCCCATGGCCTCTGGGGTCCACTTCCTTGTCTTTCTTCCCTCTGCGGCGAGTTGCCTGATGTTAGGTCATCTAAAAAATTATTTTTTCCAGTCAGAAATTACAGGTAAATTTGTATTAGGTTTTATTTATTCCATGTTGCATCAACAAAGCACAAATGTATTTCCACATGCATATACACAAATATACTTACCTTAAACCAAGTATAAAAATCCACTTTTTGTTAACCATCTTGAAGCACTTGTAAGGAAATAAAAGCAAAGCCCTCTCTCACACACACCCATGTTGGGAATCTTCCATAAAGAGAGTTGCTAGTTCTCTGAAGAATTAGAACCCAGTGTGGGTGAAATCAAATATATGGATATATGATATTTTGCATCGATCCGCCCCCACTATTATCAGACAAGTGAAGTTTGGAGGCATTGGACAATGTACACTCAAGTTATAGCAACTTTCCTGTTTCTGTGGTACATTAGAATTTGACGCCACGCCACGGACACGCCTTTTAACAAAAACTCATCCACAATCATGCAATATCATCAACAACATGTTTTGATTTCCTCACTAAATTTTCAGCTGGATTGATCGATCTGCTAGGAGTAGAACATAGAAGTATAAAAAAAAATGACAATTTCCTTTCACCACTAGGTGGTGCTCTCACTATACTGAATATTATAACATAGACGTGTTCAGGACGAGACTCTTTATCAAACGTGAAGTTTCGTTGAGATCGGATCAATGTACGCAGAAGTTATGACAAATCTCTTCTGGCGAGTCGTTGAAATTCCCACGCCACGGACACTCTGTTTGATGGAATGTCGTAAATAGCAACAACTTTAATTTATGAATGGTCTTTAGATGGATGAGTCCAAATCTGAAAGTCGATCCGATTCAAATCCCCTAGGAGGAGGATTCAAATACAAGTGTGCAGATCGCCAGAAATGGCACGTTAAATCCCGAAATGGCCGACTTCCTGTTGGGTTTGGTGATATGGCACACTGGATTTTTTTCATCTGTATAAGAACTACACGCGTGTCGATGGTTTATTGCATATCGTGAAAGGCCCCGGAGGTTCAGTTTTATGGGACCCGAGGCCATTTTGCATGCTCCTTATATTAAAAAAAAATATGGAATTTTTCCACGACTGACGTGCGCTGCGTTTCATGAGTTTTTCCAAGCATGGAAAACTTCCAAAAAATGCATCATTTGTAACTAAAATTAATAATCTCTTACAAATACAATGGTGCCTCGCAGCAGCCGGCTTAGGCTCTAATAATGACAATATTAGAAGCATGCAAAAGAACCAATAATATCAATAGCAAAGAATAAAGAGCCATTGGGTGATGGATGGTGATCCTTGTGCATGTAATATAGTGTTTGAACTAAGGCGACGTAGTTCACCGAAAAATGGTACGGGGCACTGCGTGGGGTGTAAGTTTGATACAGGCAACTGCCCTCCACTCCTGCTGCCATCTTCAACACTGACCTCCACCAGTCCACCAGTCCACGTTGTCTCTGCAACACAGGTGCCGCTCAGGGTACAGTGCTCTCTCCCTTCTCTCACCTTTACACCTCGGACTTACCCAATCCACACACTACCACATCCAGAAGTTATCAGATACACAGCCATTGTGGATGGAGGGGAACAAACTGGAATACTTGGACTGTCATTCAGACTTTCGTCAGCTGGTGGTGAGCTTCAACCAGCTTCAGCTAAACACTAGCAAGATGAAGGAGATGATTGTTAACTTCAGGAGGAAAACATCTCACTTCACACCGGTGAACATTCAGGGATTTGGACATTGAGGTGGTAGAAAATTACAAATTCCTGGGTGTTCACCTCAGTAAACAAACTGGACTGGACTGACAACACCATGCTCTCTACAAGAAGGGCCAGATTCGCCTCCACCTCATGAGGAGATTGAGGTCCTTCGGATAAGCAGGGCTCTCTCAAGACTTTTTTTCCTTCCCTGGAGTGGAGTTGAAGAGCCTCATGGCTGTGGGAGGAGGAACGATCTCCTCAGTCTTTCAGTGGAGCAGGACAGTGACAGCAGCCTGTCCGCTAAGCTGCTCCTCTGCTGTAGATGGTGCTGGCAGTGGATGCAGTGGATTATACCATGATTGACAGAGCCTGTTCAGCGCCCTTCGCTCTGCCACAGATGTCAGTCTGTCCAGATCTGTGCCCAAACCACAGGAGCCTGCCTTCCTCAACCAGTTTGTCCAGACGGTTAGGCGTCCCTTTCTTAAGCTGCCTCCCCGCACACTACTGTATAGAAGAGGTGCGCATCGCCACAACAGGTGATGATAGAACATCTGCAGCGTTTTTTTGCAGATGTTGAGGACGCCAGCCTTCTGATGAAGTTATCGTCTCTGACCTCTTCTGCACAGGTCGTCTGTGTTTGGCAGTCAGTCCATCCTGTCATCCAGGTGACTCCCAGTATTTGTATGTCTGTACCAACTCCCACAAGGTCAACGTTGATGGTCACAGGGTTACCGGGTGAGCCCTGGCCTTCTGAATTCCACCACCATCTCCTTGGTCTTGGTGGTGTTGAGGCGCAGGTTTTGTTGGAATCAACCATGTGACAAATCCTGGATTGGAGTTTCCTGACTCCTTCCTACTGGTCACTCCTGATACAGCCCACGATAGCCATGTCGTTGGAAACTTTTGCAGTGACAGACTCCGATTGTATTTGATGTCTGATGTGTACAGGGTGACAGGACCGGAGAGCGCACAGCCCCTTGCGGCGCCCCTAGCACTGACCACAGTTCAGAACTGGCAGTCCCCAGTTGCACATACTGTGACTCTGGCAGTGAGGTAGTCCCATTATCCATGCCACCAGATGTGATCTAACTCCCATGTCTGTTAAGTTTGTGTCCAGAAGCCGGGAGGCGGAATGGGAAGCCTCGCTCAGCTCGTCCACCACACCGGGCTGACAAATACGTGGGTGGGACAACCAGCTCCTCGTGGCTCCTGAGGGATGGAGAGAGAGACAGCAGCAGAAGGGGGTATGGTGACCTGAGGTGTTAACGGGATGGGGTGGTCGAACCTGCTGAAGAATTGGTTCTATAATAATAATAACTAATGTTCATTAGTATAAGAGCACCGGGTATTACAGCAAAAAACTGAATTAATCAACAAAACAAGAAAAAACTATGCGCACCAAGACACAGAGGCAGCCGTCTGGGGCCCCATCTTGAATGTATCTCAAACATCCTCGCTTGCACAGTGGCTAACCAATGCCTATTAACCCAGGCAATCTAACTCAGTCATCAACATGTAGAATCTTTGTGGAACACTATTTATACATTTTAGGTTAATGTTCCTTTTTGATGTGTAGTAAATATATTGTGGTTAGAAATTTTGTGTACTAAAGAATTAAATACAATTTCAAAATAATTTCACATGGAAAGTGGTTACTGGTTGCAACTCCTTGCTTTTTGTATTTATGTATTTAATGTTATATGTATCTGTTTTATATCATACACATTTTTTAAGTGAGTAAGCTAAATATGTAGGACTATGGCATTTCTGTTGTTGTTCAGTTTGCTACATTTAATGGCTCCATATTTGCTCTCATTTACATAAATGTTTACTCTAGTTTGCTATAGGCTCAGAGAAAAATAAATGTACATTTATTGATTGAAATGTTATTTCTCATGTTGAATGCCCCTTTTTGTTTTAGCTTGTGGAGGAGAACTGAATGCTCCCTCAGGAACTATCTCCTCTCCCAATTACCCAAACTTGTACCCACACAGCCGAGTATGTCGTTGGGAGCTGGTGGTGTCACCAGGCCGCCGGGTAACACTCACCCTCAATGACCTGCGGCTGGAAGATTCTGGTACTTCCTGTGCATTTGACTATGTTGATGTGAGTCAACAGTTAATTTATGCGACCAACAAAAATTAAATAGATTAATAAATAGATTTTATTTAAAGACGACTTTTTTTATGGTGTAGTGTTGAATAATTGAGTAGTCTCACAGGATTGTCCATGCCTATCACAAAACTTGTTTGTTATACATGTCTGCTAAAGAAAGTTGCTGTGTGCCAGTTATTTTGCTGGTTAACATGGACTTACCGATCAGCCATAACATTATGACCACAAACTGGTGAAGTGAATAACACTGATTATCTTGTTATCTTGGCACCTGTCAGTGGGTGGGATATGTTAAGCAGCAAGTGAACATTTTGTCCTCAAGTTGATGTGTTAGAAGCAGGAAAAATGCCCAGTTATACCTACATTGTGATGACATGAAAATGTTGTTTCCTTTCTAGAGACTTAGTACCCCTGTCTCCATGATAACTTCTGTCTTTTAGGTCTTGAACGGGTTGGCAGTCGATGCTCCTCGCCTGCAGCGATTCTGTGGTACTGTACCAGCAGGCACGCAGGTGCGCTCCTCTGGCAACACCATGACCATTGTGTTCCGCACTGATGCTTCTGTGTCCAACGGTGGCTTTTTGGCTTCTTATTCCTCTGAGGAACCTGCAGGTAAAATGCTTCCTTTGACAAAACTAAAATGGAGCTACTACATATAGTATTTATTAATTTTATTTATTGTCTCAGATTTTTTTAATTAGGCCAAAGAAATACATACAGTATATAATTGTCAGTGTTCATTTTCATCTATATAAAATAATAAAAAAAACATATTTATTTACATACATACATATATACATACATACATATAAGGTAAATTGAAATAAAAGATCACAACACAAATGATAATGAAAGGGAAAATAATCATTATTTAAATTAAAATCAAAGATATAATAAATGTGTAAATACAAAATAAGAAAAAAATCTAGGTACAGGATAATTCATTTTATTTATAAAGTTATAGGGACAGAGCACATTAATAGACATTACTGTAAATGTGCCAGTTTAGCCATCCTGGCTAATTTTCAACTGCAATCCCTGAACAGGTGTAATGGCAGATAGAAAGACACATAAAATACATTAAACAGAAATAGCAATGCTGTAAATGTAGTAGAGAAGACTTCATAAAAACATATAAACCAAAGCATGCTTTAGGTTATTTGTTTTATGAGTTATGGAGTATGGTTACATACATTTTCTTTTAAACATGATTTTAAAGTGATTTTAGATGAGTGATATGTGTTGTATGTAAAATTGTTCCATGTGTGAGCTGCTCTCATTGAAAAAGCTGGCAGTCTATCATTCAACCCTTTCCTGCCACAGACCTAGTGTGTCAATCATCAGTTGTTTTCTGCTTTATAAAAGCACTAAGGGGGAGGAGCCAGGCCATGCCGAATCTTATTGACAAGGCAAGCATCTGTAAATTTGATAATTGTCCCAGCTCTCTCTCTCCTGCAGCTGAGTGTAAACCACACCCAACTCCACAGTCTCATACTTTGTCAGGTCTATAAGCAAGACGACAAACAACTTTTAAAATGCTTGTTTTCTGAACAGAGTTTGGATCAATCAGGGCTATACTAACTTAGTTAATGGTAAAGTAAATCTGATAGCTGGAATTAAGTAACAGACACTTAATCGCTGTGGCTCAGAGGCAGAGCGATTGTCACTAATCGAAAAGGTTGTTGGTTCGATCCCCGGCTCTCCCACCCACATGTCGAAGTATCCTTGAGCAAGATACTGAACCCTGAAATTGCTCCCTATGCTGTGCATCGGTGTGTGATATGTGTATGGATGACGTTAGTTTCTGTTTGATGGGCTTTGCCATCACTGAGTGAATGTGGTGAAAGGGTGAATGATGCATGTAGTGTCACTGACATAATTTAGGGGGGCGGGACATGTCCCTGCTTTTTTCAAAAGGCCCGTTTTGGTCCCCTTGCTTTTTACCATCCATAAACAATGTAAACCTATAGTAAACAGAGACCTTGTCAAGCACTTAGGACCAAGCGGAAACCGCAGCTTCAAGCTTGAAGCCTGTTTCCCTTAGTTTAGACCCGCCCACAGCCAGAATGTCTAAAAAAAAGGAAAAGTGGACATAAGAGACTTATTTAGAAGTCCAAAGTGGAAAGTTACTCAAAGAAAAAGCATTACACCCATCCTGCAACACCTTCACTCCCAATAAAGCGGCATATCCACTTCAGGATCCTCTCATCAAATTACAAAAGCTCTCAATGATCTTTAAAGTGTCTTTAAGTTTTATTGAAAGTGCTGTATAAATCTAAAATGTATTATTATATATATTATATTATATTATTATTATTATAACTGTAGAGCCTCAACAATGCAAAGATTTAAAACAGCATATATTAATGCAAAGAGATACACTTATTTTCATGGTATTATTTTATGTTGAAAGGCAGCAACTGTTTTTTAAAAAAAAAAACATATATTCCAAAAATAAGTGTACAATTGGTGGTACTGAGTTGGAGTGAAGTTGGACTAACAAGGTGAATAATGTTTTGCTACATGCTTTACAACCAGTCAAACCAAAAAAGGGAACAGTGAACAAGTAGCAATAGAAAACTATAATCCCCCGTTCCTGTCTATCTAAACCTGTTACTATCAATAAAGGCAATAAAAGGCCAAAAATATATTTAAACAAAAATAAAATACTTGTGTCCCCCCCACCTCTGAAATCAAAATTTCGTCCTTGTGTAGTGTAATGCAATGTAAATGCATATTAGACTAGGCAAGACTGGCCTGTAAACAAACACAAGTAAACCAGGGAGCTGCAATTTTTCAGGATACAAAGCAGTAAAACTTTTACTTTTGCGATTTCGTCATTTTTTTATACAAAGGTTTATGATAAAATGGGAGTAGAATTGTTTTGTCTCCAGCTACTTAGAATATCGATAATTCAGCTATAATAGCAGCAAGATGCTCAAGAGAGGAGTAGGCTTACATGAACTGAATTACTTATGTGTTGGAAAAAAATTAATTGTCATAATAATCATAATGTTACTTTTTGCTGACATTTATGATCACGTTTGTTCTAATCAAATGTTATACAGCCCACAGTCAGCAGACAGCAAAGACGCCGCAGAGCAGTTTACTCAAGTTGATGACAACTTAAGTACAAAGTAGAAAAGTAAAAAATATTGAATCGAATATAAAAGGACTCAATGAAATCAGTTGAGAAATGTAAATGTTATAGTGCTTTTTGTCCAGTAAAACTGCAGGCCAGCCTTGCCCTGCCCAATATGGCAGTGACAGTGATGCAGTGTCTATATGTATATATGTCAGTGGTCTAGGCCTATGGCAGTATAACTGGTGGTGGTTCATGGTTCAAGACTCACCTGAGCCATCCCTAACCATAAGCTTTATGCAGTCTAATCCAACAGTCCTGCAAAAAATCTTTCAGAAACATTTTTAGTTTAGTTTCTGTTGAAACTTCATTAGAGAGGTGGTGATTCAACTTCATGGTCAGTATGGAGGATGTATTTTGTACTGCTGTTGAATTGTATTGTGTTATTCTGAGATGCGTTTCTAATATTTACTCAACCCCTATTGTCATAAATGGTATATTTGCGGTGTTTGTGTTTATATCTTGTGTGTGAGTGTGCCCCTACATTTTCATGTTTCCCTTTGTTAGTGTGCGGTGGAGTCCTGAACAACCCCACCGGGGAGAATTTCACTTCCCCTGGCTATCTAGTGTCCAACTACAGCAACAACCTCAACTGTGAGTGGCTCATCCAGAACCCACAGCACATAAATTCCTCGATTGTGGTACTAATAGAAGACTTGCACCTGGAGAACCACCAGACCTGTGAGTCAGACTACCTCCAGTTCCGCTTAGGTGAGTCCCACACAAACAGCATTGGCTTTAGGATGCACTGGACATGTACAATTATCACATCTGTGGTGTCAGTCATAGACTACAAAAAGTAATGTAGTATAATGTGTCTGTAATGGTATCCATAGTTTTCAGAAAATGTGTTTTGAAGTTGAAATTTGAGTTTATCATTCGCCACCCTCTTAGAAGTCGCTAATTACAATTAAATTGAGTGTATAAGGTCATTTTGGTTTGCATTTGTGTAAAACTGTTTTCATTCAATGGTAGCTCGGACCGATAATGTTATTATGAGATCTTCATAGCCATCATCAGCAAATGTGTGTACAATTGTACAGTACAGTAGGTACAAGTACATCAGGAGTTAATGGAGCCAATCAGCATTGAGTATTCACCCAGACATGATATAAAGACATAATAACATAGTCTTTAGAAACAGTACAAAAATTGATTGGGTGAGAAGAAGGACTGAATCTTCAAAACTACAGTATCTGAACATTTGATACAAAAAAGTAAAAGCTTCCCCAGGATTATGTATTGTTGCGGGTAGTGGGGGTCCTGCAGAACTCCCTACTTTTTTCTTTAGGCTATTGTTTAACTTCTGGCAATTAAACATATATATTATTGTTAATGACAGCGCTTGCTTTAGCTGTCACTTGTGTTCAACTGGGGTTGATGTAGTCTGGCACTACATTTGCTCTGTGGCTCCTTATCTCACTCCTCTTCTGTGTGTAATTTCTCACCAGCATCCATGCCCTGCCTCTGTGTCTTTCTCCTTGCAGTTCTAATGCTTTAGTTCAGTGTTTTTTGCTGTTGGTATGTCTGATTTCCTCACCCTCGATCGCATGCATGATGCTAAAACAAAAATACAAGAGTTTATAAATGTTGGCTTCTCCAAAGCCACAAGTGTTTGATCAAAGCGACACTAAAAATGGATGCTATCGCTGGGCTGTTACCACCAGAAGCTCAGAATCGTTAATTTTGGGTGACAAAGCTAAATATACCCACATCCCCTTATCTGCCTTTACCTTATTGAAATGAATGGACATAGCAAGTTACCGCACAATGGTGTCTTCTAGGTCTCGGACTGAAAAAGATTAGGAATAGATACTGTATTCATGCTTTTCTTACATTAAACTTTCTGCCCCCTCCCTCAGGTGACTCAGATGGGGAGCTGTTGGCCAAATTTTGTGGGCAGACCATCCCCAGAATTCCCATTGTGGTGTTTACGCCAGAGCTCTGGGTCCATTTCCAGACTGACGCTTCCAACGGTGATCTGGGCTTCAAGGCCAAGTACTTGTTCTCTGGTAAGACGGACACCAACAGCTTTATTAAGTTCATCTGCTATACTTAAATATGAGATTAGTATTTGTCTAATATAACAGTCATAATTTTACTACCACAGACTCTATTTGGATGATTCTCTCTTTGCAGAGTGTGGAGGCTTGCAGACAGGTGAGAGAGGGATATTGTCCAGTCCGAACTACCCCAACATCTACCCCAGCCCCAGTCGCTGTGCTTGGCTGCTAGAGGCTCCAGTGGGCCACACTATTAGGGTGAGTCTGCACCATGGCCTAGTGCCAAGAGTCCATTTCCAATTGAACATTTTGATGTGTTAGAAGCAAGAAAAAAAGGCAAACCTTTGAAAATGGCCAAATTATGATGGTTAGACGACTGGATGGCTCCAGAGATTCAATTTGCAACTCTTGTGGCGTGTTCCCCGGTCTCGGGCCTGCAGTGGTCAATACGTAATCAAAAGTGGTCCAAGGAAGGGATAAGTTGTGAACCTGCAACAGGGAACAAAGTTAAATGCTGTTCCTGATAGAAAGGTTCAGAACACACAGTGCATCGCAGTTTGTTGTGCATTGGGCTGCATTGCAGTGGACCAGTCAGGGTGGTTGGCTGATTGGTTTATATGTATGCCAAAAATGTCTTCTTTATGTCTTATTCCAGCTAACCTTCAGCTACTTCAGCCTGGAGCCTCACTCGACATGTGGCTGGGACTCTGTCACCATCTTCAATGGAGGATCCCCTGGCTCCCCTGTTATTGGCCAGTACTGTGGGACCACCACGCCAGGAACCATCCAGTCAGGATCCAACAAGCTTGCTGTAGTCTTCTTGGCTGATCATAGTGTGTCCAGAGGAGGCTTTATGGCCTCCTGGTCTGCTGATTCCTCAGGTGGGTTTATACTAGTTAAATGAAAATGGTGTTACTGCTGCTAAACTTCTGCCGTAGCAGAGATCTGCAAATGCGTGTGAGGAGAGATTTGTCTGTGTGCCTCTGTAGCCACACCCACTTCTGTCTGACAAAAGCCTTTGAGGGCATAAGTAACTTATAGTAGCTTGAAAAATTAACATGGACCGGGACCAAACAGCCTCTGAGACTGATGGAAGCAGTTTAATGACAGGGAATATTGTACCATGGTGATTTACAGCCGCTCTGGGGATTATGAAGACACTGGGGGTTCAGGTGTGGGGGACAGAAGAGATGTGAAGTGAAGTAGATAGGAGCGACAGGGAGGTTGGGCAGCGCCCATCTCCGAAGGCCTGTGTGACTGGGGGTCCATCAGACTTGGAGGCTGTTCAGTCCCAGGCCGGCTGTATTCACACTGCTCAGCTAACTGCAGTACTCAGTTACAGTTAACTAGCTGCCTGCATATTTTAGCAAAAATAAAGCTAATGTTATTTCTGCCCATCAGTAAACAAGAGAGATGGGAGAGAGAAGCTGGGGAAAACCAGATCGTATTTTCTCCATAAAATATGATTCACTTTTACGAAAATCAGTGAATAGAGTTTATAAGTTGTGTTAATTATCAGTGAGGTCCGGCCCCCAGAAACGATATACACTATAATTTAACAGTAATGTCATGCTACCACCGACTGATGGTATCTCGGCTGTATAGATACTGAGGCACACAGACAAATCTCTCCACACAAATACAAATCACCACACACATTTGCTGATCTGCCACGCCAGAAGAGTAGCAAAGGTCACATGTAAAAAGACAGCCAATTGAGAGTCCTGCTTGAGTTGTAACCAATGAACTGTCTGTATTTCCAGCTCTTGGAGCAAATACTTGAATATCTTCATTTACAGATTTGTCTACAAATGTACAAATCTTATTACATTTGCAAATCCCAATATACTTTCATTTTTTACATTTTTATACATTTACACAAATTTGCCCCTGATCTGAGTAATATAATATTTAGTGCTGCTGATACCATGTCCCGATCCAATACTTGTATTTTCCCTAGATAATACAGGTGAATACCTCTGCATTGAATTATGAAGAAATTTGCCTGCATCCAAGCTGTTTAAGTTTATTTTTTATTTTTTAACAAAATAACAAAGTAGGCTCTAAAATAGCCAAGCAAACCCTCTCTGTACTATTCTTTTGGTATCAGTCAGTTGCTAGCTTTGAACATTCTCAGGTCCGGTCAAAATGAAAATAATTTGCTTCCCAATTAGTACAATTAGCAACATGGTACATGATTTTACAGCAACAGCCCTATTCCACCTAAATAATGTAATAAACCCACATTGATGATTATGTTACATTGTTTTGTGGATATCCATTAAATTCCCAGCAAACAATTTTTCTGAACAGAATTTGGATTGATGGAAGTTAAACTGATAGTTAGAATCAAGTAACAGACATATTTTCAGCACTTACCAGGTAGTCCAACTTTCTCTCTTACTTTTCTTAATCTCCTTTTTTGTCTGGTCTCTGTATAAATATGAAGTAGTATGGGTCTGGGTGGCACCCCCATGGCTCAAAGCAGACAAATACACTATAATAAACTCTGAGTTGTGCCGTAGTCCTGGACTGTGCAGACATGTGTTTTGTTTTAAACAGGCTGTGGAGGGGTGATCCATGCTGATACAGGAACAATCAAGTCACCAAACTATCCCCAGAACTTCCCGGCCAATGTGGAGTGTTCCTGGCAGATCATTGCCCACGAGGGAAGCCACCTGGAAATGAGCTTCAACAGTGATTTCCAGATTCCAGACAGTTCTGGGACCTGCCAGAACAGCTATGTTAAGGTATCAGAACCAAGTTACAGCTGTAACGTGTTCAAATTATGTGCTAGTTCATGGGCTGATGATTCGGGCCTCTGGGAAGAGTCATGGAAGGCTGCTGTCAGGTATTTTTTAGAGAAACTCACAAATGCTGAAATTGTAAATTATTTACACTTGATAGATCATAGATATAGATCAGATTCTGCATGATCCAGAAAAAGTTGTGGCTCTTTTAAAGGAAAAAAGTGGGGTCAGCGATTCCCAAGAGTTGCACATGGGAGCCAGATTCATTATAGCAACTTACTACTAGTACACTGTAGTTACTCGTCCTATAAACAAACAATGTTAACGTTACAGTTCAACAAGCCAGATACCTCTTCCACAGCCACTCCAGCCACCCACTCAGACCACAAAACAAAACAAGAACAACAAATAAATAAAATCCATAAACTGTAAAGTTGACCTGCTCGTCACGCTCTGTCACAATGCCATTTTGGATCATTTAATCTATAATATGTAACATTTGCGCATTAAAATGTTACAAACACTACACCTATTTATATATTTTGTTGAGTTGTGTTCTTACATTATCCAAAATGTTTCCAACAATGTTCAAACCTAGAGAAATCTGTAATTTTATTCAGGTAATAACATTTCACCAGTCGCCTGTTAGTGTTGTTTGTGGTGGTGAAAACTCCCATGATTCCACGCTACTTTACAACATCATAAAACTTTCACACATCAAAAAATTGTTTTGATGTGAGAGCATCAGAAATGACATGTTGTGTTGTTTGTCTAACTATTATGATTAGTGACCATGATACATTATACTGCAAGCATACATCTCCAGTGGATGTGTTTTTTGCATAGCTGTAATAACACTGGCAGCAATGTGATTGTAACAGAGCAGGCACACAGTTCAAATCATGGATTAAAGATATGTTTAGAATAGCAGAGAAAGAGGTACAATGTTACGTTACACCATTCATGAGCATGCAGCAGTGTTAGTTAATGTGCCTGCATAGTTATTGTGGCCCAAAATCAGTACCCTATCAGTGCTAATAAGTTTGATGTTGTGACTGTCACAGATTTATGGAGCTGCATACCGCTATTTTCTTCTTACTATCGTCATCGAAAACACAGTCCAATGTTTTTATTTTCGGACTAGAACCCTGATAGCTGCCTTGTCTGTTGGCCTGCTGGGCTGCTGCATCCTAGTAGGTTGCCAGGTTTGCGCATAGTGCACTAGAAATCACTGATCATGTTTTAAAAAAAAACAACTACATATTAAATTTTAATTATTATTTATTATATTAAAATAAAAATATCAAGTACTTTTAAGTCAAAGTCAAGTCGAGTCTTATCAGTGTTAGTCAAGCAAGTCTCAAGTCCTCAAATTGCGAAATCGAGTCTGATTCGAATCATATGTCCCTCACCTCTGTTAATCAGTGTACATTTTCCTGCAGGTGTGGTCAGGTCAGACCCAAAATACAGAGGCTCCGCTGTCGACAGGCTGTGGCTCAGTGGCCCCCGGCCCTGTTATTGCTCCATATAACATCATCACAAGCCGGTTCCAGGGCACTGAAGCCCCAGGAAGGGGTTTCTCAGCCTACTTCAGCACCAGTAAGAACCAGGCAGCCAAGACAGCTTCATATCACAGTGTTATTAAGGCCATATTAACTGACAGTAACCGTGTTTGAATCTGAAACACATACCCCTTTTCCACCAAGGCAGTTTGAGGACTTATTTGGAGCTGGTGCCTAATCTTGAACCAGTTCTTTGCATTGCAACAGCCAAAAAACAGGCTCTTGGCCAAGTCTAGAGCCCGCTAGTACAAGGACGCCTTGTGGTCAGCTTTCTATGTATTTATTAGCTGTTTAGCACACAGAATTTGTGTGACATTAAACTAGCTGGCTAGCTAGCTAGCTGTTGTCAGCTAACTTTACCCAAGCAAGGATAGCTACTAAATTCTCACATCAATGTTTTGTTCGCAACATCAATGTTTTGTTCGTAACATTTCTCGTTACTTTAATGTTATGTTGAGGTTAGTAACATTGATGTGAGAAATTAGTAGCTATGTTAGCCAGCTAGTGTAACATTGGTAACAATAGCCAGCATTAGCACCAGCCCAGACAAGCACCAGGTCTCATTGGTGGAAAGGGGCTACCAGTTGCCTTGAATGTTAGGTCCCTGTGTTTGTTTGTGTTGCATCTCGGAAAACATGTTACCTAGTAAAGGTCCTTTAGTGACTGGAAACTTGATTAATTGACAGGATTTTTAGGTGATTTATTGGCATTTTCATTACATCAAGAAATATCTTTCAATCTCAACTTCTATTAAACACAGTCTTAACTGAGACAGCAGGCACTTCAGTATTGGATTAAGGTATGAGGTAGCCAGTCCCAACATAATGCAAAAAAAGTCTGACATCTTCTGTTCATCAGGGTGTGGTGCAAACTTCACAGCCCCCAGCGGTCGTGTGGTTTCTCCAAATTATCCAGCCAGCTACCCTGACTTCTCAAACTGCAACTACACCATAGACGCTGGACAACAGACTGTGATCATCCTCACCTTTCAGGTCTTTCAAATAGAAGGTAAGTATTAGCATTAGCAAAATATGTACAAAGAATCTTGGAATAATCACAAGATTGACCTATCATCCTTTTGGAACTTTGCATGGTAAATGTTTTGTACTCTTTGTTTGTCTTTTCTGTAGCACACTCTACCTGTATGTATGATGGGTTAAAGATCTACAGTCTAGCTTCTAGTAGCCCGGCTATTGCAACTCTGTGTGGTACCAGTATCCCAGGGCCCTTCTCCACCTTTGGCCCCATGTTACTCCACTTCTACTCTGACACTGTGATCACCGACACTGGCTTCATGGCAGAATACAGAGCCATTCGTAAGTAAAGAAGAGACGGAATAAATAAACAAAAGCAAATGACTGAAATTAAGCAGTTAGAAAACTTTCTCATTTGCTTTTGTTTCCTTACCAACCTCAGAAATTGGGGGACAAAAAGAGTTTTCTTTTTCTTTTTATTATTATTATTTTTTTGTTTTTGTTTATTTCTTTATTTTTAATTAATTTATTCTATTTTTGTGGTTTTTACAGTCCTTACTCTTTACCCAGAAATAGAATGGAAAATTAAGTTTTTTATTTTTTTTTAGAAACTTGGAGGATTTGTTTTTCCATTACGTTTCGCAAGCTATATGTAAATGAGGAAGCATGGAGGATACACCTGTGACAAGTTGTGGGACTAGATACACCTTATGGTCACCAGGGGATTAATAAAAAACCCAGTGTAATGGCTCAGAAGGTAAAGCAGGTTGTCCACTAATCAGGAGGTTGGTAGCTCCTCTCTCTGCATGTCGAAATGTTGCTCTATTCCCATCGGTGTACATACTGTATGTGCACAGTGGGTTTTGTTGCTTAGATGTGTTGCATTTGCCTATAGCTTGTTTGCACATGACAACACATCACTCCTGTGTCATGGACTGCAGATTGAGGGCAAAGAAGTGATGTTCTACATTGGAAAAACAAGGGATTGAACCAACAACCCTCCAATTAGTGGACGACCCGCTCTACCTCTGAGCAAGAGCCACCCCTTAACCCTTAAACCATTGCACTTATTATGCAGTGTTTGTCCAATACAAGTCACTGTAAAAAATGTAGAGGTAAAGTTGTATTTACTCACCATATATTCATTTATAGATTTATCTTTATTGGTATACTGTACATTTAATAATTCTGTGTGTGTGTGTGTGTGTGTGTGTATATGTATACCTACATACGTATGTACGTCTACAGCATGTGGTGGTTTCTACAACAGTACTATGGGTACAGTGAGCAGTCCAGCACTCTCCATGACCAACTACTTCCACAACATCAACTGTACCTACCATATCATGGTCCAAACAGACAGAGTGGTGGATCTCAAGTAAGACTGCACTGACTGCACTAAGAGCTTTAAATGGACTCCAGGACTAGAATAGGGAACTGAAAGTCAGACATACCTTTTCAGTTATGGAGAGGGGGTAACTTTTACATTTTGTGTTGCAAAGTAATTCGTCTTATGCAATAATTTTCTGAGAGGCTAAGATGGTTTCAATCCTTTAGAGTAAAACATTTAGTTTTCACATATTTTTATGGTATTTTCTGAACATAAATCAATAAGACATAAACATTTTTGACAAAACAAAGCCTTTCCCATACCTACCAACACTTCCCCTGGGTTTCTCACATATTTCAAGCCCATCTCATGGGTTGTTTTTTTTTGTTTCTCCTAGCAAACACACAGAATTTGCACGGCCCTTAAACTTTATAATGAATAATCCTCATACACAAAGTTTGTCCAATGTCACCAAGGTTTCCACATTGTGTATGAAACATGTGATATATATTCTTTGATCATGAAGCCTGATGTCGCTCTACAATTCTGTGGTTGATAAGGAACTACACTCTCTGTTAACAGTGACACACAGAGTCTTGTCTCCTCTATAAAACATGATCTGTATCCTTACTTGCAGTATCACATAAATCTCCTGTATTTTGAAACCTAAATGTTGGCAAGTATTGCCTTCCCTGTTGGTCCCCATTGGGTTTAGGATGCATCAAGGTTGCACTTGACAGGTTCAGTGTGGCCACTGTATACGTTGGTGTTACTCAGGTCCTCCAGTAATGTAGTCCAGTAACTGTGAATGATGATGTTGGTGCAAAAGAGCTTTAAAAAACCAAGAGAGCTAGCTTTAAAGTTTTATGTAATATTTCCTTTCAGCCTTTCATTTTCTCTGTCTCTCTCTCTCTCCATAGGTTTAACACCTTCCACCTGGAGGCATCCTCTTCCTGTCACTATGACTATGTGGCAGTGTATGATGGACAGAACACATTGGCACCTCTGCTAGGGAAATTCTGTGGCGCAGTGCTCCCACCAAATCTGCGCTCTTCTACCAATCAGCTGTTCATCGTCTTCAGGACAGATGCCACAGTGAATGGGATTGGCTGGAGGGCTACTTACAGTGAGACACTTGGTAAGTGTTATTGTATTTGGTAGTAGCTCATGCTTGCAATGAAGCATGCAATAAACAAATACTTATAAAAAATAGTTGTAAGCACCTCCTGACTCTTTTTTTTTGAGAGATAGGTTAAACATAAATATATTTCAAAATACGTAACCAGTCGATTTTGACACAGCATAAGACAGCTATATGAGACAGATAATTGAGCTACTGAAAAATAGTAATTATTTAGAGTTACTAGTTCTCTCAAAAGTAATTGAATGGCTTTACCAATTAGTGCATATAAAAGGAATTTGTTACTAGGAAAAGTAACTTTTGCTTTACCTTTAAATGTCTGTCTCAATTCACTTATTGCACACAGCCGTCTGCATTTTAGTGTTGCTGTGGCACAAGGCAAATTTATCTAGTCATAAATACTCCCAACCACTAGAGTGCATCAACTACTAGTGCTCCTATCAACACTCTTTTAGTGGACAGGAGGATTAAGTAGAAGACCCACACAAATGTACGTACACCAAACAGTAACCTCTGTGGCTGGCAAATGAAGCCAACACAGAAGTAGCAAAAACAGTTCCTCTAACAACCACTTGAGCGTGGCTACCAAAGTGAGTCATTCCCCATTTTGGTATCTATAATGAATTTCCCCATTCATGACAATTGTACAGGGGTTGAATTTTTATACTTTAGGAATTTAAGCAAGGAAACTACAGTGAGCTGGGTGAGTTTGGAGAAGATGATCTGGGATGATGGTGTTGAATGCCAAGGTGAGATCCACAAACAGGATCCTTGTATATGTCGCTGGGGAATCAAGGTGTTACAGGATGTAGTACAGCCCCACATTGATTTCATCATCATCATCAGCATGACAGGTCTGTAGTCATTGAGTCTTGTGATAGAGGGTTTCTTGAGATTGATTGTGGAGCGTTTGAAGCAGGAGGATACTTGAGATAAGGGGCCAGCTGGGCAGCACATGCTTTCAGACATGGCTTCCAGATCTTCTCTCTCTGAAAGAGCTGACTTCGTCCTCTTCACAGATCCTGAGTGCAGGTGGGGGATTTGTTGTTGCTAATGTAGAAAGTTTTAGACTGCGCACAAATGTCCTCATAAAAGCTGATTAAAGATGTTACCATTAGCGGGATCTAGATGCGTAGTTGCAGATTGCAACCAACCAAACACAACTCTGTATTTGATGACCTAGGCTTGAAAATGGGCTGTGAAGTGTGTAGAAGAAACCACAGTGGCTGTGAAAATTGCAAATGTCTCTTCTAGGCTATTGTAGAAATATGCCGGTTCAACATGGAAGGCGACCCGCAGAATCTCTAGATAAAAACATCACATTCTAAGGTATTGAATAGTCAGGTTATAATACACTGATGAAAATACCTATGAATATTATATTCCATTTCTGCCAATAGATTTTCCTAAATATTTTACCTTTAATGTGTTGTTTTGGCAGTACGTAGCTGAAGTTTGCTCTTTTTCCAAGAACAATGAGCATGGAGTCTGTATGTTTCCGCTCTTGCAGGAAGTGTCATGTGTTGTATTGTCTCACTAACACAGTCTTGAAGTGAACACAGACCAAAATATTAACTTTTATTAATAAAACAGTTTTTCTGGGCTTCTTCTCAGGGCTTTTCTGATTTTTGACGCCTAAATCGACCTCTACAGCACCAGGCGGAGCGCCTCAGCTGGGTGTTTTTATTATGAATATCACTTGCTCTGTGCAATTTTGGTAACACTCTTGTATTATTGTATCCATTGTTGTGCAGACATTTCTGGAATATTTCCCCCAAAAATGGAGCGACTACACTAAGTCTTGTCTTCCTCAGATCATGGAGGAGAGCAGATTGAGTAGTATATTAAAATACTATCTATATTTCCATAAACATAAATTCAGCTACCAAAGACACAAAATGTGCCCCTGTCTGTACAATATTTGTCACTGTGTGCATCAATAATTCAGTCCTCCCAGAACTTTTTCTACTCTGACGTGCGTATGGTGTAACAAGAGTGTTAAGTGCTTGTTTTCTGAATTGCCTGTAGGTCCAGCACAGGGATGTGGTGGCTACCTGTCCATGCCCATGGGCATGCTTGGTTCTCCGGATCCAAACCTGGATGGGCGCTATGAGCCCAGAATGGACTGCCAATGGATGATTCAGATGCCAGTCAACAGGGCTATCAACCTGACATTTAACTCCTTTGAGCTTGAGAGCTCCTCTAATTGCCGCTACGACTATGTCAAAGTAAAGAACCCGCAGCCATTGAAATACTGATTACTTTTCTTTCTTTAGAACATGAATTAATTGACTACTGACCATGACACAACATATAGCTATGCTGTGTCATGTTCTCACATGACATCTCACATGCAATTATGTCTGCAATAGTTGTTGACTTAATTGATTTGCAACACCAATTTGTGACATCGAACAATTAATGAAATGTAGGTGCAGATAATACATAATTGTTTTATTGGTAAAGTGCTGGTATTAATGAATGATAATTTAAATTTTTATCCTGGATTTGCTGCCATGGTGATGCACTCTTACAATTCATGATGCCAAGAATAATAATCAGAAATAAGACATCAATCATTTGTTAGATACATACTTGTGATACTTAAGTTTTGTTGGATCATACTACATTGACAAAATATACTGTGACAAAAATGGATTTGCTATTTTCTGTTTATGTTTTTCATGTATCTGTTTTTTTATCAGGTGTATGATGGTGACAACAGTAATTTCCCCCTGGTTGGGACATTTTGTGGAAGCTTCATCCCTTCTTATTTTGTATCGACTGGAAACTTCCTGACTATCCACTTTGTCACTGACAGCTCAGTACAGAGGCGAGGCTTCAATGCTACCTACAGAGCTGTGCCATGTAAGACACTTTCTACTCTCTCTACTACACTGCACACTACACTGCTTCTTTTTCTCTATATATCTTTAAATTGTAAGACGTAATCTGGCTCACTTAAAAATCAATACTGAATAACACCAAAATGACTGTGTTCAAAAACCCATCTGCAACTGTGTCATTGTCTGCAAGTCCAGTCATAGCTCACAAGCAGTTTATTTTGACACACTAAAGACGGGTCTCTTTTACTGTTACTCATGTATTCTCCATGGAGGTATCTCTTTGCTAAGAAGGTCATTTGTGATAAATATACCATAAAGTACCTGAATGTTTCAGGAAGAATCTGTTCACTATGACACACAATTTATGACGAATAAACCACACAGAAAAAACTCAGCTGCAAATATTTCACGGCTGCTGAATTTGCGGCAGTTGCAACACTTTTTCAAGAAGTTCAAATAACCACTGCCGGTCCAGAGGATGTCAGTGGAACAGTTTGACGTCCTGCTGGGGATGCTAGTGCCGCATCTGAAGAGGCAAAGGAACAACTACTGGAATCCTATTAACCCAGAGCAGCATCTGTCTTAGGTAAGTTGTTCTCGGGCCTAAGCTACTATAGTAGCGGGGGGGGGGGGGGGGAATTAGCATTCTTGCTAAACTCTGGCATGTTTACATTTGTATTTTTATACAGATGTTCATTAACATACTCTGTGCCTATCAAATAACCAAATAAATAATACGTAGACTTTTTTTTTTAAATATCTGCCTACTCATCCATTTCTTAACTATATAGTCATTACAAACCAAGCATGGTCCGACGTTTGCTACAATCTGTGGTGATCTTGTTTTCATTTTTGTAGAGCCAGGCACATGAATGTAATTTCGTCAAAACAAAAGAATACTGTATCCAACTGCATAAATGATGATGAGCAAAATTTCTTGAACTTAATCTAAATCCAAATCTTTTTAACTGGCAGTCCACAAACACAGGAAATTGTTAACTTGGTGCAAAACTACAATGTTGAACATGTTGTAGACATGTAGCCTATTCATTTTTATCATCTTGTCTATATTTTTATTCAAAGTTATTCATCTCCATTCATCATTCATATTTAGGCAATAAGGCTATATTTATTATTTAGATTATGTTAACACCCTGCCCAGCTCAAATTTGCCCACAATCTCAGGTTTGTCAGGCTTGCAGACCTAATACAAATACTGTATAAGTACAAATATGAGGTACTTTCTACTTTGCTTGGGTGTTTCCATTTTATTCAACTTTTATTATACTATTCCACTACATCTCAGAGGCAAAATCATATTTTTTACTTGTCTGACAGCTCATAATTAGTTACTTTTCAGATAGCAATTTTACAATATTTGTTTCTAAATGAGATTTTGAATTTGAATGTGTGTGATAAACTAAAGGGTGTTTTCCCATCCCAACACATACGTCCTCCTATTTCATAAGCTTAATAAACTATTAAAAAACCCTCTTGGATGAGCTGGAAAATGCATTGTCAACTTGTTCTTTCAACTCATAAAACGTGGCTCTCACAGGACTGCAACACTATAAACATATGATGATCTTATAGAATATGATGCAATATATATAAAGTAGTTAAAATTAGCAGATTTTAATCATCTACAGCAGTAAAATGCAACATACACATTAATGCATCAGTCCAAACACATTATATATAATAGTAAAACACTAACAGGGATCATTTTACTGCATAATGAGTACTTGTACTTTGAATACTTTGAGTAAATACTTACATACTTATTAAACCAGTGTCTGTACATCATTTCCTGTAATGTGGATACATTGTAAACTTTGTATGTTGCTAGATTGTTAAAATTATACAGAAACAAGCTATTGACTATAGGCTTTAACCAATAACCAAGCTGTGTTATTTATAGCTAAACTATTATTTTAGTAGTGTAGCAGCCGACTAAGTGTAAACAGTATACCTTCATAATGTCAAAATATAAATAATTTTATCAACAGAAATTAAAAAGAGCACACCATTGCTTTGTCTGTAATAAGTGATTACACCAGGACAAAAGTGCAAATTCAAAAGAATGTTGGTTGGGATTCTTCTAATACTGCAATCATAACTTCCATGTCTATCTCTATATATTGAGAGAATGAGATTATTATTTATTTTATATAAATTAGTTTAGTAAAATCTGAACCTGCTGGCACAAATGTAAATCAAATTGTTTTCTTGGATTTTGTATATTAGGAAGACTAATACCTGTTTTCTCACCTTCCCCAGATTCCACTACACCACAACCATCACCTACAGATTTGATCTTGGTGTATCAAATGTGGCTGCTTTGGTCGGCAGTGGTTTAGAGGTAGAGTGGGTCATCCACTAATCGGAAGGTTGTTGGTTCGATTCCCTGCCGCATGTCGAAATATCCTTGAGCAAGATACTGAACCCCAAATTGCTCCCAATGCTGTGCATTGGTGTGTGAATGTGTATGAATGAGTTAGTTTCTGTTCGATGGGCTTTGCCATCGCTGTGTGAATGGGCGAATGTGGCATGTAGTGTAAAAGCGCTTTGAGTGGTCGGAAGACTAGAAAGACACTATACAAATACAGGACACTGACACTTTCATAAATAACTGTGCGTGCTGTAAGTGCGCTGCATTGGGAGTCTATGTAAATGCATTTGGTCAGATCTTACAAGTCTTAAGTAGGCGCTAATGAGGCGTTTATCATTAGTTTCCGGAATGTGCTCACACACATCCTTTGTTGTTCATTTCTGTGTTTTTGTCTTTATGATATTTTTAATAAATGCTTGTCTTTATACATATTGGCCTGTTTAATATCCACAAGAATGAATGATACTAACTTATTTAATGTAGAACTTTAAATCTTTCTGTATCAAGTCTCTCTACAACCGGGGGTTCAATTAGTCAACATAAATGAATAACACTGATTATCTCATTATCATGGCACTGGTCAGTGGGTGGATACTGTATTAGGCAGTAACTAAACACTTTGTCCACAAGTTGATGTGTTAGAAGCAGGAAAGATCGGCAGCGTGAGGATTTGGGCCAAATTGTGATGGCTAGACAACTGGGTCAGAGCATCTCCAAAACTGCAGCTCTTGTGGGGTGTTCCCGGTCTGCAGTGGTCAGTACCTATCAAAAGTGGTCCAAGGAAGGAAAAGCCTTGGAGA